AGATCTACTTATGCTTTGGGGAAGAATGGCCAGATGGGAAACCCTTGGAAAGGAAACTCATCTTGGTTCAGGTGAGAAGATAAGGCTGTGTCAGGTGAGAAGATAAGGCTGTGTCAACAACTCTTCTCCTTTTTGCCAATGCTTTAGGCCCCAGGTCTGGGTTGAGCCTTCATCAAGCATCCATCAGCCCATGTAGGTTTCAGTCTCATCAGATGGGGTAACAGACTCAGGTTTGTGCAGTAGGACCATGCTGGAAAAGGCAGGGTCCTTAAAATGGGTGACTGATTTAGAGGAGATCTTGTCTTTCATTCTCTTACTAACCTTAGAGTCTTGCTGAAACCTCACAGATATGACCCTTTCCAGCTTTTCTTCACACACACACACACACACACACACACACACACACAATGTAAATTGCACTTTTTTTTTTTTTGGAGACACGGTCTTGCTGTGTCACCCAGGCTGGAGTGCAGTGGCATCATCTCAGCCCACTGTGGCCTCAACCTCCCAGGTTCAAGTGATCCTCCCACCTCAGCCTCCCAAGTAGCTGTGACTACAGGCACAGGCCACCATGCCTGGCATAATTTTATTTTTAGCAGAGATGAGGTCTCACTATGTTGCCCCTGCTGGTCTTGAAATCGTAGGCTTAAGTGATCCTCCTGCCTCAGCCTCCCCAAATTCTGGGATTATGGGTATAAGCCACCACACCTGGCCCTTTCCAGCTTTTCTTAGAAAAACCTTTTGAGTTACTTTTAGGAATATAAATTTATTCTAGGAAGTGGCAGCAAGGCCAGTTGGGCTTTGCCCCTGGAGTTGTGTAGCAAGGCAAGCAATAGATGATATTTTGTTAAAAGTCTTGCAAAGTAAGCAGTCATTTATTTAGGCATGTAGCCTAATGTTACATCTAGGTTCTTTACCTTCATTTGAACCAACTTCCAGAGTGAGCTTTGGCAGGAGGATGGTCCAGAGAGATGAAGGCATATCCTTTATTTAGACATTAGAATGGGGGGCTTCCTCAGGGCCTCTTTGGTCTGCCCTTCAATCTTGGGGCCATTGTGCTATTTAAAAATACCTTTTCCTGAGAGGATACACCTATGTTCTGTGTCTTGAACAGGTCATTCCAGTAGTAGCTCGGATGATCTACGAGATGTTTTCTGGTGATTTCACACGATCCTTTGATAGTGGCAGTGTCCGCCTGCAGATCTCAACCCCAGACATCAAAGATAACATCGTTGCTCAGCTGAAGCAGCTGTACCGCATCCTTCAAACCCAGGAGAGCTGGCAGCCCATGCAGCCCACCCCCAACATGCAACTCCCCCCTGCCCTGCCTCCTCAATAATCGTGAATGCCATCTTCTTCCTTTCCTTTTTTATAATATTGTATATATGGATTTTTTTATTGTTTAGATTTAACCAGCTTTTAAATCTCTCTTTTCTCTAACAGTGTTAGAAGTCTGTGATTCTCCAAGTATGCCTAGATTTAAAGCTGATTTAATTTATGGAAAAATCACCCTTCAGACTTTGCTTTTCTTTTTCAAATCTCCTAATGGTAGTATGATGTAGCACAGTAGAAGGAGATTTGGCCTGGGAGTTTGGACACCAAGGTTCTAGCTGCAGCTTTGCTGCCAATGTGACCTTGAACAAGTCCTTTAACCTCTGGGCTTCAGATTTATTGCTTATAAAGTGAAGAGATTGGAATGATGCCTGAAATTGTATACAGCTTTAAAACGGACTCGATGACCTTCTTCTACTTGTACAAGGCTAAACTGCCTGGAACAGAATCCTTCTGCGTTGTTCTTGTACCACATTTTTCCTTGGTTTTGTTAAAGTTTCCTCAAGCACTGATTTGTCCAGGATCAAGCTCTGTTTGACCTGTTCTGCTAGTATAGTAAGCTGGCTCCCTGATGGGGGAAGTGAGAGGGAGAGGAGCTGGCTGGCTGGTTGCTTAGAAACCATGCTTGATATCTAAATAGAAATGGGTGCCAAAGTCTGAAAGTCACCCAGCCTGCGGAGAGAAAGCTCACAAATTTGGCTTCTAAAGGGAAGCTGTTGACACAGAAAGCCTAGGGATTCTGTGGAAGAATAGGTTGTCAGGCATTTACCATATTACCACTCAAATACCAGTGTGTGTGTTTAGGGGTTGGGGGAGGGGGGTAGATGATAGTATGTGACTCAGGTGGTAGCTTTAAGAGGAAAGAGCTCTATTTTTCTTATTTTCTTCTCTGAGCTAGACTGAGCTGGGGATCTAAGATATACTTCTCTGACTACAAAAGGGACAGTATAATTTAGATTTTTTGCAGTTGAAAGATATTGGTTGTTGGGTGTGTTAAGGCAGGGATGAAGAAGGGCTGGGCAGTACTCTTCTGGAAAGGCTCACATAGCACGAACCTGCTTGTCTCCCTTACTAGTGGAGGTATCTGAGTGTGAACAGTGAAGGTAAAGAATGGTATAGAACAATGCAGGTCTATCTGTCACAAACTGATCTTATCTGGAAACATCTGCTGAGTCTCTAACCATTTTGGCTTTCTCTTCTTTTTTGAGACAGAGTCTTGCTTTGTTGCCAGGCTACAGCGCAGTGGGAAATCACCACTTACTGCAGCTTTAAGCTCCTGGGCTCAAGCAATCATCCTGCCCCAGCCTCCTGAGTAGTTGGGACAACAGTCGTGCACTATGATGCTTGGCTAATTTTTTTTTGTAGAGATGAGGTCTTGCTATGTTGCCCATGCCGGTCTTGAACTCCTGGGCTCAAGCAATCTGGGACCTAAATGGCAAATAAGATGGTAATCTGTGGTTGCAAGCCCCAGTCCTCTTGAATAGTGACGCCTTTCTGTCTGTGTCGGGACGTAGTAAGGAAGCCCATGTCTAGTCTGGTACCTTTAAACCAGGCCATCTCCTACTTTTCAAAATGACTCAAAAGTTGTGCTAGCCTTATTTTAAAAACTAAAAGTTCATAATCAGTGGTGACACGAGGACTTATTTATTTAAAGTTCTTAAGCTTTGGTTTTAGAGTTTCTAAGAGACCTGGTGGAATTTACTATTATGAAAAGCATTACCTATGCTATTACGAAAAGCATGACAAGATTAAGAAATCTGGCTAAAGGTCAGGTGCCCAGCTTTGAGGAAACAGTTGGGCTTTTAGGGACCAGGAAGTGTTAATGGCACAGAAACTTTACATTTTTTGGGTCATTTTGTTGAGCAGGTGAAGTGAGGGATTTGGTCTTGATATTTGGCTGCCCCATCTCTATGTGGGAGCTCAAAGTTAAAAATAACCCACTGTAGGTAAATTAGAAGGGTAGCTTTTGAATCTGGGCCAGTCTGTATCCCTTCTGTGAAATGCTAACAGCCAGGCTATCTGTAGCCTGGGTGGGAGCCCAGATAATGTGAGCTGGTAAAGGGTATTGGAAAAGTGCCAAGAAATATCAAGCTTTTGGTTTGTAACCACTGTGAAAAGTTTATGAACATGTCAGAGAAATGGATGAGTGATTTGTGAGGTCCTCACTAGATACCCCAGTTTCTTCCTTGTTTTGGCTCCTTTTCAGAATGCTGGGAGAGTGCTGGATAGATTTAGGTTTCCTTTCTTTTTTTAGGGCCTCAGTCTGCTATCTCCTTTGGTGGCCACCACCACTTACTCCCTTGATATCTTCTACTCCCTTGCCTTCATCATGCTTAAGACTGAGAAGGGAGTTAGATTTTGTCACTAGCTCTTCTTTTTCCTCACTGTCTACCCCACCAAACAAGATTAGTTCAAGTTAAAAAGAACCTACTGGAGGTAAACTGGGAGGGCAAGTGTTGGATCTGGGCTGGTCCCTTTCCCATATAATTAGGTCCCTGGTTATATGTTCCCATAGCACCCCATAGTTCCTCTTTCAGAATAATCATTTCCCTTGTAATGCTCAGCATCTGTATCCTGCTTGACTGCAAACTTGCTGAAGGTAGGGATTGTTTGTCTTGGACTTCGCTGCCAGTCCTTAGAACAGTGTCTGGGACACAGTGTGTTCTCAAATATTTGTTGCTAGAATAAATGAATGAACTAAATCAGTCTTTTAGGGATTTATTGTTAACCACCATGGGAAAATTAAATAAATGCGGGAAAGGAAAACATTCTAAAATTAGAAGACTACTTTCTACACTCAGCTTCTGACTCCCTCTGAGCTAAGAACCAGACAGTGTTAGCCTGGTAACTCCTATAAGCTGGTCCTCCTCCCATGCTGACCCCATCTTTACAGTTCACTTTTCACGGTCTGAAGGCACCACCAAGATAGACCCAGGAGTGACAACTACAGTGTAGGTGTCCACTGTTCCCTTAATCTCTGTCCTGCTCCAAGTATAAATAAATTGGGGCCATTTCCTTAGATATTGGGGTTTTCTCAAGAAATCCTTTCCCTTTGTGGCATGGGTCAAATTGCTGGTAGTTAAAAAGGTGTCAACTCTTACGTGAAATAACACTTTTTCTTTGTAATGACCTAACTGGAAAGCCTCTGTGTCGTCACTTCTCATTTCTTATTTGAAATCAGCAAACTGGATTCAGTAGACATGAACTTAAGCCTCATGAAAGTGGGGGTTTGCTCTGTTTTGCTCACTGCAATACCTCCAGGGCCTAGCAGCATGACTGGCACATATTTGTTCAAAGTGAATACTCACACCTTCACACCCTCCCTAGAGAGCTGTTCTTGTAGGCCTCTCAAATGTAGGATTTAGGGAAGTCAAGTTAAAAAAAATTAAAACGGTTCAGCATCACCCACAGGTGAGGCTATTCTGCAAAATATGTTAATTGCCTTGAGGTACGTTTCGTCTGGACAAAACGTATTTCCACAGACACAAATCAAAGGTGTTTATTAAGTGCTGTGTGCCCTGTTTCTGGATTCCCAGTCAAGTGGGACACCAGACGTCATAACACAAGAAGGAAGTTCTGCGAAGCAAAATGAGGGCAGCAGCGGCAAACCAGTTTCACCAGGTTCCGCCTTTTCTCGTTCACTTCCGCCCTTCCCAGTTCCTGAGCACACAGGTGGGGCCGCATTCTGTCTGACAGGAAAGGGCGGGTCGCAGGGTTCCCCAAACTTCCGGCGCGCAGCAAGGCGGCCTCGCTAGTGGTTCTAACGCGAGGCGCGCGAGCGGCTGGATGATGTCACGGAATGGGGGGAAAAGAGGGCGGCACTCGAGTGGGTGCGCATGCGCAAGAAGGTGCCTGCCCGACTGGAGCAGAGCAGGCTGAGAGGGTCTTCCCAGCGCAGGCGGGATTTCCAGTGTTACTTGCGGCTGGGCGTTGGGGACTTGCTGCCTTTCTGGCAGCAGGCAGGAAGCCGCAAAAAGTTTCTGAGCCCGCGAACCTGTAGCGGACGTGGAAAAAGAACGTATGTGAGAGAGACTTATGCCTCATTTAGCAAATCACTGTAATATGCTCTGGTGTGGGGCGTGTGGATCGGAGAAATCCCATCTTCCGAGGGTCCTTGGTCGGACAGAAAGGGAAGGCGGGGCCAGCAGAAGTTAAAATACTACCGTATGCAGTTCTAGCGGATTTCATTCATTCATTTTTATGTGTCAGGGTGAGATGGTTGTTAGTCCACATTCTGGTGTATATTAATCAAATTGCTATTCTTATAACTATTCTCTGGCGGGAAGAGTAGGGGAGTTGTCAGTGGAAAGGATACATTTGGAACTTGGAGCTCTGTCCCAGAAGGGCTTTTGGGCGAAATGCTGTGAATTTTGCCAAACACCGCCCCGCCTCCGCCTCTGACCCAAGCTCCTTAAGGTTTGAACCAGAGAACGTAATTTGCAACAGGTAAAATTTAGAATAAAAGCCAGAGGGAATATAAATTTAGCTATAAGGCTAGAAAAACACACGAATTTAAGATTGAGGGAGACCAAGTCAACCAGAAAAATCAGGTAGCATTGATCCTATCTTGTCTGGGCTGGGTCACCATTTCAAAGCAGAGGGAGGGACAGAATAACCTTTGAAAGATACTTCGACTTAACGGGAAGGCTGTTGTCAGGTTGCGTGGTGTGTCACTGGCTGTTAATAATTCCCTGCTATTGCTTTGTTTCTAGGCCCCTCCTCAAGTGTCTGGCTTAAAGATGCCACCCAGGGAAGGGAACTCTGGCTAGCTAAGGAGGCCATTCTTGATGTTGCTTCTAGATCTCATGTCGTCACCGAGACCTCAGCTGCTGGTGGCAGCTGCTCAGCAGACCCTTGGCATGGGAAAGAGACAGAGTCCACCCCAAGCCATCTGTCTTCACTTAGCTGGAGAGGTGCTGGCTGTGGCCCGGGGACTGAAGCCAGCTGTGCTCTATGATTGCAACTGTGCAGGGGCATCAGAGCTCCAGAGCTATCTGGAGGAGCTGCAGGGGCTTGGCTTCCTGACCTTTGGACTTCACATCCTTGAGATTGGAGAAAACAGCCTGATTGTCAGTCCTGAGCATGTATGTCAGCACTTGGAGCAGGTGCTGCTTGGTACCATAGCCTTTGTGGATGTTTCCAGTTGCCAGCCTCACCCTTCTGTCTGCTCCTTGGACCAACTTCAGGACTTGAAGGCCCTCGTGGCTGAGATCATCACACATTTGCAGGGGCTGCAGAGGGACTTATCTCCCTCTGCAGTCTCCCACAGCAGGCTGCATTCCTCAGACTGGAATCTCTGTACTGTATTTGGGATCCTCCTGGGCTATCCTGTCCCCTATACCTTTCACCTGAACCAGGGAGATGACAACTGCTTAGCTCTGACTCCACTACGAGTGTTCACTGCCCGGATCTCATGGTTGCTAGGTCGACCCCCAATCCTGCTCTATTCCTTTAGTGTCCCAGAGAGCTTGTTCCCAGGCCTGAGACACATTCTAAACACCTGGGAGAAGGACCTCAGAACCCGTTTTAGGACTCAGAATGACTTTGCTGATCTCAGCATCTCCTCTGAGATAGTCACACTGCCGGCTGTGGCCCTCTGACTTTTACTCTCCTCTCACATAGAAGGTACTCAGTAAATGATCATCTCTAGGTTGGGGATGGCAAATAATCATCTCAACTGCCAATTCCAAGTGTCTTGAGTACACTAAGGCACAATGCTCTAACCAATTGGCTGCAAATGCAAAGGGCATGTAAATAGGTAGTGGTGGTGCTAGTAGCAAATTGGTAGATAGTACCTACTTGCCATTTCTATGCTAGGAAGTCCTCTTAGTGGATATGCTTTCATTTTCACTGGATAAGAGGTAGAAGGAAAGAGGTGATAGAGGAAAAGCAGGGTGGTGGAAGACAAGCCAAACACTCTTGCATGGTAACCGTCTAAATATACCTGCTCTATGTGGGTGCTGTCTGCTAGGAAAGTAGGGCTGGGGGTTTCTCTGCGTGTTTATATGCCTGCAACTGAATTTGAGGAGAGTAGACCACCAGTATGCTTAAATATGTGATACTTGTTAATGTAATACACCTTTCAGGAATAAACTGAGAGTTCTGAGGAACAGTCTGGTCAGGTGAAGTTTATTTACACTAGGTTAAGAAAATAACAAAAAGTCAGAAATCCTAAGTCAGTTGGAAAGCCCAAGCTGTAATGTACCCAAACCTTCTGAGTTTTTTGTTGAGTTGCTTGCTTCTGATTTTCACCCGAGACAGTTGTCACAAATTATTCAGATCATCAGGTTGTCTTTATTGGCCAGGAACACTGCCAGTGCTGCAGCAATCACCACCATCAGCATTGGGAGCCATCGCCCACATTGCCTCTGCAGAGGGACAGGGAGACAGAAGAAAGTGGCTATGAGTTGACTGGAAAAGATATAGGCAAAAGTCTTTCTTCTTCCTACTCTAGCCCAGTAGAAAACCCTGGGTTAGTGGTAGAGAAAAAGCTTTTTACTCTGTCTCCCACTCTGTCACCTGTCTTGGGGTAAAACCACTTAACCAGTGTTCTCTGGCCCAGGGAGCCATATCCATCAGGGACCAGATATATAAATACTGATATGAATAATGAAGGGTGGAAAATAACTCAGCAAAATTGTATTCTTTGTTTGTATTCCCCAGTACTTTTGTTGTCCTTCTATTCTGCCACCATGCTTATCATAGGCTAAAAGAACACCCTTTCATACTTTAGCTAAGAGTGAGTCTTTCCTTCTGGCATTGAGAGTTCCATGAAAGTTGGGCTTTGATGCACGATTCCAGTGTTTTTTCCAATGGTTGCCATAATGTCAGTATGTTACAAACCAAGCACAGTGGGACAGGATGGCCAGTTGTTGGCGTGGGCTGATATATTTTATCTGCAAATCTTGGTTAAGGAAGGAATCATCCCATCATCCAGGGCTTTATGGGAAGGAGAGACCCTCTTACTCTGGGAGGCAGCTGCTGGCTCTGGTTCAGCTCTTCTCGACAGTGCTGCAGCTTACGCAGGCAGGAGAGATACTCGTCACTGAGGTTGTCTAATTCTGAATGCAGTTCTGTGCACTGGGGAGAACATCACCAAAGTCGTCACTGTCACTTCTGTCTAGGACAGAGCCCAGGTAGGGGAGACTGCCCTGTGTAAGTTTCACTCATTTGGAATTTTTACCACCATCCTCCCTTCCCAGCCATTCTCAGGGATTTGAGTTTGTCTTTTGACTGTCTCACATTGTCTGGAATGTGTTCATTTTAAATGATTGACAATACTGCATATTATAATATTACATTTTATACATTTAAGTTCTTTTATATGACTTTACGTGCAAGTGCTTTGCAAATGAGAGACACTGAAAAATGAAGTTCTTATAGCACAAACAACCTAGAAGTGACCTTAGTACAAGTTTCTTTCCCAGGAGCTAGTTGCATATGAATACTTCTGGGGATGTGTATGTTTGTGAGTTGTACAAAGAAAGAGTTTTACTCTTTAAAAGACATATAAAGACTTAAGATACTCAATGTGGGACGACATATTGAGAAGTTAATATTTTTATTAAATGTGTTTGAGTTTTGGTCGACTTTCTAAAAGGTAACCAGTTAATAAAACCTTGAATAGGAGTTGGTGTAAATAAGGAAGGGAAAAGATTGACAAGTCAGCCCAGAAGCACAGACACTTTATGTAGGCAAATGAATATCTGTGGGTATCCAGTCACAGCCTAAACTTTGAAATCCCTGCTCTTTGGCTGCTTCCCAGGTTTCTCTGCTATTCTGCAGATGAGCCATCACTGTCTCAGGTCACCCTCTCACCTCCTTTTCCTTGGCCTGGAGCTGCAAAGTCTTCTTTTGCAGCTGGTCTCTGAGATCCCAGTCTTTCTCCTTCCCTGTACCCTCAGGCTCCACTTCGTTAGGGAAGGACTTTGGACTCCACACGGGCAAAGCCTGATCTAAAAAAGCAGCCAGATTCTTGGTGATAGTGAGGCCCACACCTTTGAGGAAGGGCCCTGAGGGTGAGCCACTAGGAGTGGGGAGAGGGGAGGGAACTTGGGAGGACGTGCTCTTGGCTAGACTGATGGCATTCTTTGACATAAAGGTTAACTTCCACTAGGCCCCTGCTAAGCTTGGACAGACAGCTGGAATCTGAGCCCCTTGAGGACAAGATTGGCATCTTTTCTTTGTATCCCCAGTCTTATCTAGTGCTAGATAATTTTAGTGAATACTTATTAATTGAATTTCATTGGTTGTATGTCACATTCTTCCTAGTTTGTCAGATAAGTTTGGTGGATGCTTTAATATAACCCCTTTTCCCTGATGTCCTCATTTGAAAGTTGTGAAGATGGCAGTCATATCCTAAAATTTATCTTCATATGGTTAAAGATGGTTTTTTAGCCACCCTGCAGTCTTAGTCTTGGTGAAAAGAGCATGGACTAGGAGTTAGAAGTTTTGGATTGTTGTAGCTGTGTTGTTAGTCTGTGCCACCATAGACCTTCATGGTCTTATCCATACTATGTGGGCATAAACATTTATGCATTATCTATTATATTATGCCCAGTGATTGTGAGGAGAAAACAAAAGGTCATGTGTAGTGGACAGGTGAGGAGCTATTGCCCCTCTGTATACACGGTGAATTCTCAGTAAACATGGACAGTAGACTCTCTAGGGCTAAGAGTGAGTTGACTCTGGCATGCTATGTGGTTTGGGGCTGGGAAGTTGGATGTGATTTGGAAAATCAAGTGTGTAAAAATTGACATGAAATCCTGAGTTCAAAATAAATTTATTGAAATGTTCAACACAAACATGTGCTTTCAGAGAGAATAGAAACCCTTTTTCACAGTTTATATACCTCAGGATAGAAGGCTAACTAGTTGAAGTGTCCTCAGAGCCAATGATCAGTCCTTAAAAAGCTCCCACACATCCCGGACTTAATAGACTCTCAGAACTGGGTGGGACTCCAGGAGGTCATGTAGTCCATCCCGCTGCCTCTAGGCAGGTAAGGGAAGAGAAGTATCTTAGAATTTGTGGTTAATAAATTTGCTGACCTTTCTTTGTTAAGAGTTTCTCCTGTTCTTGAAGCTGTAAGGATTGATTCTGAAGCAGACCTGTTGGAAAACACAAGGAACTTGTCTATGCTAGCATATTTACTACAAAGAGTTTCTTTTCAGAACTTTGCCTAGAACCTTAGTTATTAAATATGTTCCCATCTGCTATGTGTTGAATTTTGTCCCCCAGAATCTATATGTTGAAGTCCTAACCCTCAGTACCTTAAATTATGACCTTATTTGGAGATAGGTTCTTTAAAAGATAATCAAATTAAAATGGGGTCATTCAGGTGGGCCCTAATCTAATATCACTGGTGTCGTTATAAGAAGGAGAAATATGGACACAGATATGTTCATGGGAAAGACACAGAGAGAAGACGGCCATCTGCAAAGCCAAGGAAAGAGCCCTGGAATAGATCTTTCCGTAAACGCCCTCAGAAGGAAACACCCCTGCTGACATCTTGGATTTCTAGTCTCCAGAACTGTGAGACAATACATTTCTGTTCTTCAAGGCACCCAGTCTGTGGTACTTTGCTGTGAATATAGCATCCTTATTTCTCCCCCTACCACGTCTCTATCTTCAAGTCTTTGCTTGAAGACTTTCCCTTTCCCCTGCGGTTGCTTTGCTCTCTTAATAATCATTGCTGTTTGCATGAAGCTTCTCTATCAGGTGTCAGAGGTTAAAGTGGTGGGCAACCAGCAGCGGTATTAATTGAGTCAGGTTCTCCAGCTTTTCAGAAACTGCTTTTCTTCTGAAAAGGCCCTTTTCCTCTTTGGGCCCAATATGTAGTTTTGAAGTGGACTGAGGCACATATAGTGTGTAAGCTTATTTTCTAAACCATCTTTAGTGACAGGTCTATGTGACACATTCATGTACTTATAAATTACAATATATAAAATAAGAGCTGCTTTAGGAAACCCAGTACTTAAAACAAAATCTGCAATTCTGGGGCAAATGTAAGTGGTGTCATTGGCATGGAAGGAGAAAAGTAGAAAAAAAAGAACAGAGGCTAATACATAATTTATGGAGAGCTATGTAAATGACCTCACTTCACAAGAAGAGGGTCTGAAAATGCACAGAGTTAGAGCATATGCCAAAAACTGGGCCCTTAGTCCCTACTCTGGGTGCCTTTTATGGGCCAGGACCCCCAGGAAAACCCTGTGGACTTTCAGAATCTGGAAAGCAAACTTACTCTGCAACTGCTGTACTCTGGTCACCAGGGTGAGCTTCTCCGACTCTGACCTTTTTAGTTGATCTGAAAATGCAATAATGCAAGCCAAAATAAAGGAACCCAAGACTTAATGAACTCAGTACTTAAGGATGGAAATTAGTAATAGATGCTGTCTTGTCATGGCCTCTAACATGTGTCTTTTGGAAGTTGTGTCCCAGTTCTGAAGAGGTAAACCAGAAGCCAAGTACCTCAGGTTTTGTGCATCAACAATGTTGGGTTGCATTGAGGCTTGTATTTACACACTATCTAGTCCTCGGACGCAGAGGCTGTGACTGAGAGACTTTCTCTATGCCTTGTGTTTCAACTGGCCTTTCCCTTTCAAATTAGGAATGTGGCCTTGACATATGTGACTGATGTGGGAGCAGCTGTGATCTGGCCCAGAGGGATGGGCTAAAAAAGAGAGCTAGACAAAAGGATACTCTATCTGATACAGTGAAATTAATTTTCAATTTTGGATGATTAAAACAGCCCTGCCTCTCCCTCAAGGTAAAATGAGATTACAAAGCCAATCAACCAATCAAGCAAACAAATAAAAGGCTGAAGCCTTTCTCTTAACTCAGTTTCCTTTTTCTTAGCTCACTTGGCCATGGCTCCCATGCGCCCAAAGCCTCCAAGGAGAAGAGTACCTTGTAGGTCCTGGGTATCCAAGCTGCACAGGTCTCTGTCCCCTTGCAGGCATTCAATCTTGGCCTGCAGTTCCTGGTGCTCATTCTCCAAAAATCGCAGGGCCTGGTTCATCTGTAAGTCCCTGCTATCTGCTCCCTGTAAGGAGGAGGAGGGGCCATATAGAAGGAGGTCAGTGTTGGGGTGGAGGTTGGGGGCAGATACCATGGAAGAGGAAAATATAGAAAATTCTGGAGTTTTAGAGATAGAAGGAATGTTAGGTAGATGAGAAAATAGAGAAGTCTTTCTCTTTTCCTATTCTTCCCTTTGCTTTGTTCCTCACATTTATAACAGCAAATAAGACTTGATATTCACAAGGAACTCGTGTCTTTTATTTATTTATTTTTATTTTTAGAGATGGGGTCTCACTTTGTCACCCAGACTGGAGTGCAGTGGTGCCATCATAGCTCATTGCAGCCTTGACCTCTTGGGCTCAAGCAATCCTCCCACCTTAGCCTTCTAAGTAACTGGGACTATAGGCATGTGCCAGTAGTTTTGAAGTGGACTGAGGCATGTGTAGTGTAAGTTTATTTTCTAAACCATCTCTAGTGACAGGTCTAAGTGACACATTCATGTACATAAATTAGAATATATAAAATAAGAATTGCTTTAGGAAACCCAGTACTTTAAAAAATCTGCCATTCTAGGGGAAATGTAAGTGGTTGTCATTGGCGTGGGACTCATGTCTTGACACTTTGGTAAATCACCAAATTAAGGAATACAAAGTCATCAGTTTTCTAGATGTTTTCATTTTCTCTTTTATTCTTCCTCTGGCAGTATCAATTTTTTTTTGTTAGGGTCTTTTTTTTCCCCACAAAGATTCAAAGTTAAACCCCTTCCCCCCAAAATCTTCATAGGAGTTGCCTTATAGGTGATGGGAAGAAGAGAACAGCAAAGGTTGAGATGTGGATACCACGCAGAGTGACCAGCTAGGTTCACTCCTTTGATAAGACTCACATACTCTGTCTCTTATCAAGTGGGCTGTTCTGAGCCCTGTTTCAGGAAAATTATAAAGATCAGCTTTTGAGGTGGATCCTCAAAACTCCAAACCAAGTAAATAAATCTATGCAAAATAATAGCTAATATTTACTGAGTGCTTTTATGTGCCAGGCATTGTGCTAAGTACTTTACATGGATCATCTTACTTAATACTCAGAACAACCTTATGATGTAAGTACTATTATCCTCATTTTACAGATGGGGAAACCGAGTCTTAGGACAGATTGAAGATGATGGAACCCTTGAGGATGCCAGGAGTCTAATTGTAATTGCTAAATGTAATTGCTTAAAAAACACATTGGCAAAAAGTGTTAGTTAGTACTCACCTGTAAATAAATTAGTGACATTTTTTCTGTGCCAACAGTGGGCAATTCTGAACTGGATGCTTTTTTGGGATGGAGTTTGGAGAGTGGGTTGGGATATGACATTAGTAGGCTGATGTATATTCCAGCCAGTTCTTTTCATTTGGATGGTGATGGTGTCATTCCAATGAACGCTTAGTTCATTTGCATGAGCAGTGCAGACATCCTTGCTAAACTCGAAATTAAATTTCAGAGCCACAACAGTGAATTTGGTACAAAGTAGGTGGTGACTGAGGAACTGAAAGCCAGATGCTGTCAGCTGCCTTTGGAGTCCCTAATCCAGAACAGCTTCTTCATCACCACCCCTCCTCCCCATACCCTGTCTTCCCTCCCCACCCCCAGTGCCTGGTACCTGCAGTTTGGACTGAAGCACGTTGAGTTGGCTCTCCAGCTCTCTGTGCTGGGACCCAAGGGTCCTCCAGTCCTCCTTCAGAGCCTCGTACTGGCTCCTCCACTCTTCACACTTCTGCTCTGCCAGGGCCAGGGATCGCTGAGGGAGGTCAGAGAGGAGAGGGTTCCAGGGAGCTGTGCAGCTGACTCCCTTGTTCCCCAAGCTGCCTGGAGTCCCCAACCCCAAGGTCTGTGTGGCATCCCCATACCTGTGTGCTCTGTAGTTGCTGCTCTGCATTCATTTTCTCCTCCAGCACTTTCTGCAGTGACTCCTTGGCCTTCTGCTCATAGCTGTTTTTCTGGTCTTCCATCTCCAGTAGTACTTTTTTCATTCCCCAAGGGGAGTATTTCTGTAAATTTGATGCAATTCAACAAATACACATTGAACTTCTGTGTGCCAAATCCTGAACTGGGATACAGAAATGAAAAGAAGTTGGTTCTTCCCCCAGGCAGAGATACCAGTAATCTAGTGAGCCTTTTCTTTTAGGGTAGAGCTAGCAGGGAGAGTCCCTCAGGCAATGAGAGATGAGTGGGGGGGCATAATAAACAGTGCCCTAGGCTTGCTGGGCATTATATCTGAGGCCTTCCACAAGCTCTTGAAATCCAACATGTCTAAACAGGACTCATGTTTCTAAACATGTTCTTTTTTCTTGGGGTTCCTATCTCAGTGACCAGAATCATCATCCATCTAGTCTTTTCCAAACCCTAAACCAATCTTCATTTTCTCTCTCATTTCCTTCCAGTAATCAGTTGGTCATTGAACCTTGACAGTTTCCTTCATAGTTCATATCTGTCTCCTCTCTATCCCTACTGCTGCTTCCTTAGTTCAGGCTCTAGTAGTAGTGTTATGTGGATTAATGCAACAGCTTCCCTTTCTTCAAATCTTTCCTCCCTTCAGTTCCTTTTCAGTCCCGCATTTAGAGGGTTCTTTCTAAAATGCAAATCTGATCTTGCCACTTCCTGCATAAATTCTCCATGGATTCTCAGCATCCTAAGAATCACATCCAAACTCCTTGTCATGGCTCCACTTACATGCCTAGACTTTCATCCCATGCTACTTCCACCTAAGCTGAGATGTTTGCAGATCCCCTAGCACTCTGTTTTTTTGGCTTCTGCCTTTACCCATATAGCTTCTTCTGCCTAGAACTGGTTAACTTCTACTCATACTCAAGATTCAGTCCAGTATCATCAGTTCTGATAAATTGACCAACTGCCCCCATCCCACAATGTCTTATAGATTAGGCAGCTTTTCTTAGTGTTCATAGTGTTCACATAGTATACCCTGCATGCCTCTATTATTCTACTCTGTTGACTCATCTGTTTTTCCTACTGGATTGTAAACTCCTTCAGGGAGGGAGCATACTGCTGCTGCTTTAAAAAAAATCATTGTAGCTTCTCTACAATGCCTAATGAACTTAATGGTTTAAAATTAATACATTCGCGTTATAAAATTCCTCCTGGCTGCAGGATTAAGGAGACACAAGCGCAGCTTTGCAAATTCACTGGGGGTCTTGCCTTCTCCCTTTCTTTCATCTTTGTGTCCTGTGATTTCGGAGAAGGCAGGCAGATTTTACTGTCAATTCTGGATTACCCACTGTGTAAGCAGTAGACCAGATGACAAAAATTTAGGGATCAATATGAAATCATTTCCATTTAGCTTTGGAATTGTCTGAAATTTTGGATTTAAATTTGAGTGGGTCTTATAGTTTTGGAACTTTCATTAAAAACTAGATTCAGGAATTAACCTGGTTGAGGTCATATGTAGGGGATGTCCCAGTTATTGGACATCCAATGACCATCCATGCTGGGCACTGGTTATGTGTTATTCCTTATTGAAAATGAATAGATTGGCATTCTGGATTATATATTGGTCTCTTGTGAACTTGGTTGGCATTATTTAGTCCTGACAAAGCAAGTCATACTGAATAAATGAAAGTTGTGGACCAAGAAACTTATAGACTCCATAAACTCTCTTCCCCTGTGAGACGCCATCTATGTGGCCAACTGTCTTCTCTCTCTAACTCCAGATGGGAGAAGTCTGCCTGTTCCGCCCCATTCTCTTATTTGACATCTCCCCACCTGTCAGGTATCCATCACTTCTCAAATGTGAAAGCTGATTTCTTTCTATCTCTTGTAAACCAAGATTAGGCCAATCAGGAGATTACTAATGCTGGAAAATGGTGTTACAGAAGAGCCAAGTAAAAGAGCTTTTACATTCTTCTAGGGGTTGCTAGAAAAAACAAAAAAAGTTGCCCATGGAATGAAAATCATTTTCTAAGACTTCGTTATAACACCTAACTCATCTGTTCAAAGATTAGGATGTGTAAAGATCTGTCTGGGTGGTGTGAATCTTTACCAAGGGCCTTTCCCTACAGTTTCAGGTATTCTCAAGGTTCCCCTGGAGCTGACAAAGTGGTTAGTGCTGGGATTCCTCCAGGGTGCAAAGAGAAGGATACTGGGAGAAAGGGAGAGGAAGAAGGATGGAGACAGTGATCTAGTGAATTAGAGACTAAAGTGAAAATGGCCAAGCCAGAACTGGGTAAGTAGGAATGGGTGTGTTATTCTCTATCTGGTGGCATTTCTCAAAAGTAAGATTGAGGTTCAAGCATTCTTCACATTTAATTCTAGATTCCCGAGATGGAAATATCCTTCAGAATGCTTACCTGGGTACAGGTGTACAGCTGGTTTTCTAAGGATCTCAGTTTCCCCTTCAGTTTGTCTTCATTAAGTTGTCCCTGGAGCAAATGGGATGAGTTAATGAGTGTGGGCCAAAATCTAGTCTGCAAGGAGTTTGACTCTATATTCCTATCCTACTGCCCAGCACATGGTTGGTGCTCAAACAGTGAACTCTTTCAGGAGGCAGGCAGGAGCAAAGATGACAAAGGATGCTGAATAGAAGAGGATCTTCTCTTCTTTCTCTAGACTAGGACAAGAAAGAATCAGACTGGCCTTAAGTCCTCTTTTTACCTCCATTTTTATCAAATGGCTCACAGTAGCATAGCAGGGGAGCCCTGGAAGGAAAGCTTCTAAGCTACCCTTTCGCTCACTACTTCTCTCCCCTCTCTAGGCACTTCTGCACTCCTCACCTCTTCTCAGTCTTGTACATGGACCTTTCTCTGTAAAATGTAGGCCAGTAAGGCTAACACAGTCTCCCCTCCCAGAAGAATGTTTATTCCCTCCTTTACCCTCTGTTATGAGCTTATTTGTATCTCCTCAACATTCCTATGTTGAGGTCCTAAGCCCTGAGTGCCCCAGAATGTGACCATATTTGGAGACAGGGTCTTTAAAATTTTAAAGTTAAAATGAGGCCATTAGGCTGGGCTCTAATCCAATATGATGGATGTCCTTATTAAAAGAGGAGATCAGGGCACTGTGGGAAGGCCACGTGGAGACACAGAGAGAGATGGCAATCTGTAAGCCAGGGAGAGAGACCACAGGAGAAAAGAACTCCGCTGACACCCCGATCTCAGACTTTTAGCCTCCAGAACTATGAGAAAATAAGTTTCTGTTTTCGAAGTTCCCCTGACTGTGGTACTTTGTCATAGCAGCCCTAGGAGATTAATACACTTCCCTCCCTGCTACACACACCTCCACATGCACACGTATACTTCCACATGCACACATACACCTCCACATGGACATGCACACCTCCATATGCACACACACACCTTCACATGCACATGCACACCTCCATATACACATATACACCTCCACCTGCACACACACCTTCACATGCACATGCACACCTCCATATACACACACACCTCCACCTGCACACACACTTCACATGCACTTGCACACTTCCACCTGTGCACACACACACCACATTCACACACACACCTCCACATGCACACTCACACCTCCACATGCACAGATACACCTCCACCTGCACACACACACCTCCACCTGCACACATACCTGCACCTGCACATGCACACCTCCACCTGCACATGCACACCTCCACATGCACATGCACACTTCCACCTGCACACATACACCTCCACCTGCACACACACCTCCACCTGCACACGCACACATCCACATACACAGATACACCTCTACCTGCACACACACACACCTCCACATGCACAAATACACCTTCACCTGCACACGCACACCTCCACATGCACACGCACACTTCCACCTGCCCACATACACCTCCACCTGCACACGCACACCTCCACATGCACAGGTACACCTCCACATGCACACACACACCTCCACATGCACACACACACCTCCACATGCACAGATACACTTCCACGTGCACACGCACACCTCCACCGGCACACACACACCTCCACCGACACACGCACACCTCCACCGGCACACGCACACTTCCACCTGCACAGATACACCTCCACCTGCACACACACCCCTCCACCTGCACATACACACCTCCACATGCACACACACACCTCCACATGCACAAATACACCTTCACCTGCACACGCACCCCTCCACATGCACACGCACACTTCCACCTGCCCACACACACCTCCACCTGCACACGCAAACCGCCACATGCACAAGTACACCTCCACATGCACACACACACCCCTCCACCTGCACACACACACCTCCACATGCACAGATACACCTCCACCTGCACACACACACCTCCACCGGCACACATACACCTCCACCCGCACATGCACATCTCCACATGCACACGCACACTTCCACCTGCACACATACACCTCCACCTGCACACATACACCTCCACCTGCACATATACCTCCACCTGCACACGCACACCTCCACATGCACAGATATACCTCCACCTGCACACACACACCTCCACATGCACACACACCCCTCCACATGCACACGCACACCTCCACATGCACAGATACACCTCCACCTGCACACACACACTTCCACCTGCACACA